TGTATATGTGTGTGTGTGTATGTGTGTGTGTGTGTATGTGTGTGTGTTTGTCTGTGAGCACGATAACTCAAGAAATACCAAACATATCCGTACGAAATTTTTTGAATGCATTTCCCATCGGCTAAGGAAGAACTGATTAAAATTTGGTTGAATTTCGTTAAAAATTGAACGAGAAATGAACAAAATTTTGTCTTGCTTTTCCCGGTCAATTAACAAAATATATTACTGAATGCGTAATTAGGACGTGTATAATTTATGCACTCAGTGCTAAGACAGTAATGAGATGATAAACCTCATTAAGCTTCGGCTTTCATTATCTATTGTCTTAGTTGCATTTCACGCGACCGAAATTCAATGTCTAAAACAAGGCTTACGGAGTTACGCATTATTACGTTCAGCAAAGTGCCAGCCATTCAAATTCTAACAACATTACATTACTTCAATACAGGGTGTATAAAAAGAACGCAACCTCGGAATTTCCCAAGAAATCGACATTGTTTTAAAGACAAAAGATTTTAGCTGCCTGGGAATTTAAAATAGCACCACTGTGAAAATTACTGCACGCGCGAGTGCATAAAGCAAAATTTGTGCATTTATTTAATGACACTTAAAAAGTTTTTATTTTACAAGTACTGTACAGTACAGTACAACAACAGTAATATGTTCTATTAGCAATTCGATTTCAATTCGCGGGGAGAATTATGCTTAAGAATTATAAAGTGGATTTCTTAGGAAATTCCAAGGTTGCGTTTCACTTCCGAGTAACGGGCGGAGGTATGTAGTCTCTGAGTGCCCTCTAGTTAATTTTGTAATAGTATATAACATTTTGTTATATACTATTCCATTGTATTGTATTTTGGACGTTCTCCTTTTATTCAAACTTACACGTGGATTTATTTCATCTGACCTGAATATCCTCCCAGAACAAAACAACAAATTAAGGATGAACCTACGGTCACAAAATACCACCCTCATGACATATCATATACCAAAAACTAAGACACTCTGCTATCAGAACAGTTATGCTGTTAGAGCTTCACGGATATGGAACACTCTTCCCGATGAATTACGTCTACCAGAGATTTCATACCATCGATTTAAATCCCTCCTTTCCCAATATTACCTTACTGCCACCAAGACCACATTCGACAAAGATCACCCCAAGTCATGGAAAACAATATGTCCCAAGTGCCATCTAGCAAGATCATTAAAAACGTTCAAGAACTGTTGTTTCTAGGACTAGCCTCGATGGCTAATGTGGACTTTGAACTGTAATTATATGTAAATAGATAGATGTGTTGTGTACGTTTCGAGTTCGAGTGGATGTATTGTTAGTACTGTCTGTAGAACCAGGGCATCAACGTAATTGGCTGACGCTGTGTTGATGTACCTGCACCGTTGTCGTTGTATAAATTTTTGGCTGCAAAGTTTATAAATTAATAAAAATAAATAAATAAAAATAAATTTAATTGAAGTACTCAGTGGTTCCCGCAATTTTGAGCTATTTAAATAGAATAACAAAATTCAAAGTAATATGTCGACTTTATTTCAAAGTCATTGTCAAACCTAATTATTTGCGAGCTTGCTGAGACTTTTTTGTAAGTGGCAAAATCAGGAAGTCGACGCAATCTGCTGAGACTGCACGAGAGGGGCATTTATTTTATCATGAAAAAACTACAGTACAGGTTCTTTCGATGCATTCAAACCACCATAAAGTTCTGGCTTGTTAAATTTAATATATATATTGCTTCAGTAAACAAGTATAAGGGGTGTCATTTTCATGAAAGTTACAGATTCAACTCTTTTAAATTTACAGTGAAGTAGGTAATAGGCATATCTATCGACTTATTAATTGCCCATTTTTTGTATTACAACTATTTAAAACATGAGCAGCAGTGTTTTATCAGATATAAAGATACGAGCTAGGGGAAGCCGAGTATCTTTAGGTCTGATAAAACGCGCACTGCGAATGTTTTAAATTGTTTCAAAAACGATCGATATAGTTTGTTCATTGGCGAAGTACGTTGTCTAAGTCGAGAAAATCAAAGTTAAAGTTCATGTAAATCAAGGAAAATCTCTAGCACATATAAATATACGACACGCTTATGATTTTTCCTTGAGTTTTCGTCATGGGTTATTAATTAGTTTTTGAATGTAGTTTAATTAATCGATATCTACTACATAACAAGCTATACAAAAAAGAAAAAAAATAAGACCACAAAGAGACAACGTTTGTAGTGAGGAAGGACTAGAGCGTCAGAACCATAATATATTGTAATATGTTGTAGGCTTTCCCACTTTCAATTGATTGCATCGTCTTCCGGTTTGGCAGTTGTATATTTCCCTGTTCCTTAAAATAGAGACAAACGTCGGCATGCTAATGAAATTTTTTTGTTTAAAAAAAAAATTGTGCTTTGACAATAATTCGTCAAGGGTCATCAGTACAGTCGACAAAGCGGCAATAGCGAACAAAATCGTGTTTATTTTATGTGGAATTATACTAATCCACCAGTATGCTGGAAGAAATAACTGGTATGTTTTTGTCATTATTTTCGCTTTTCGTCAACGCAACAACACGCGTATCTTTAGGAAGACATCAACCAGGGGTTGATGATGACAGATGGCAACCATACATCAATGAAGAATACGAGAACTTTCATACCAACGAACAGTTAAGCTCAGTCTTGGTTAATGGAAGAAGAACAGATTATACAAGGCTTGATGGTGCTTCGTCTGGACGGAGGAGCTATTGGGAGTCGATTCGGAGAAGTTTATGGACAACTCTGACTATTACGTGCGCTATGTTCGTACCAACGGCTTTCACACTGGCCTTTCTTTATATCGATTTAAACACAACGGATCTTTGTTTGGAGTGGCAGTATCACAATAACACTTTACCATTTTCTGTAAAACGACTTCGCGTCATCGGTGACAGTGTTGAAGCGGTGATAACCAATCTTTGGTTTCCGTTGACAATGGTAGTTGTATTTGGATGGAAAGAGTTTAAGCTGAGGTTTATGTCCACCTTTTACGTCGCTTTTATCTTCGGAGAAACGGTAGTAATTTATTACTTATTTTTGCTAGTATTTGGTGTCTATGATACGAGCGTGTATTACAGAATTCCTGCAAATGTACTGTTTTTTTCTGGCATAATTTGCTGTAGCTTTGTTATCCTTCGCAATATTCGAGCGAACCGATCGTGCAATTATACATTGTCCTATTCTAACTGTCGTATTTTGGCTTTAGTTTCGATGGAGCTCATCGTATCTTCCATATTCGCATTTATCTACAGATACTCTATAGTGCCTTTTTTTAATAGCCTAAAACAAGAAAATTGCAAATTCATGGTGGCTGCGATCGCACCGGCGCTGACCATTATCCCTGCAGTGATTTGTAAGCACATGGCGTTGAGACGAAGCTCCGAGGTTGTAGACCCCGGCCGGAGTTTTGTCCTAGTATACGTTATGCGAGGTGGTGTCATACTCTTATACCGCACAATGCAAGCAGATTTGAAAAGCATTTGGCTTTTTATAGGATTATCTCTGTTTTCTGGTATTCTAAACTTTTTGGAAAAGGCAACCCATGGAATACGGATGAAATTGTGGACATACATTATCTCACGTTTGAATCGAACTGTTTGCTGTCAAGGGCTCAAGGAATTGCCTCAGAATACACCACATTATAGACGGTTAAAAGCAGACTTAGAAATTCAGGATATGCTTTTTGAATACAGTACACTTGTTTTAAGCCAAGGCTACTTCGTGTTGTACTTTCCAGAAAGTTTTAAACTTTCAATGTCGTCTTTCTGTTTGGAATCTCTGAAAAGAGTTGGAATTGGCATTGGAATTGATCTATTTTTCAATTGCCTTTCAAATTTTGCGCAAATCCATTACTACAATATTCCAGTTGGTCGTGTTTGGACGAAGTACTGGAAACGACACATGTTGGCTAACTTCATCATCATCATTGTGATAGTGTCGTACTTCAGCCCCGTCCTTCTTTCGGTTTTTGAAGCACGGGAGACTGGGACAAGTAGCAAACAGTATATAGTCAGGAATTGTACATTTTTCTTGTCTGACTGATATGTAATAATTTCATCGTTCACGATGATGACTAAAATCTAGTCGAAATGTTGATTAAACACTTTTCAAAATGTTTACCGTTGTATTGTATTTAACTAAAATACTCAGCAACTTCGAGCTATTTAAACAAAATAACAAAATTCAAAGAAATATGTCGACTTTATTTCAAAGTCATTGCAAACCTAATTATTTGCAAGCCTGCTGAGATTTTTATGTAAGTAGTATAAAAATCAGGAAGTTGAGGCAATCAGCTGAGACTGAGGGGGGACATTTATTAATTATGAAAAAACCACAAGACAGTTCTTTCGATGCCTTCAAACCGCCATAAAGTTCTGGCTTGGTAAATTTAATATGTAGTGCTTCAGGAAATAAGTATAACGGGTGTCATTTTCATGAAGGTTACACATTCAATTCCTTGAAATTTACATTGAAATAGTTAATTGCATATCTATAATGTATTAATTGGCCATTTCAGTTTTTGTATCACAACTATTTAAAACATGAGCAGGAGTGTTTTGTCAGATATAAAGATACGAGGGTAAGCCGAGTATCTTTAGGTCTGATAAAAAACGCACTGCGAATGTTTTAAATTGCTTAAAAAACGATCGATCTACAGTAAGTCCTTTGGCAAAGTAATTTTAAAAAAATACGTTGTGTTAGTCGAGAAAATCAAATTTAAAGTTTATGTAAATCTAGGGAAATCTCTGTATCACATATTTAACAAATATAAAACATTTTCCGTGTTGATGTCCAGTTATATCAACACGAGTGGGAATTGGGGAAACGAGAAATTGTGTGGAAACACGATGCCCGAAGGGCGGAGTGTTTTCACACAATTTCGAGTTTTCTCAATTTCCACGAGTGTTGATATAACTGTGTATCAATATTCAATACGGAAAAATGTTTTATATTTTTTTTATAATATAGCACAAAGAAATATGAAGAAAGAAATTTTCCGTGTTGACACTGAGTTATATCAACACGGCTCTTAGCCAATCAGCGTTCAGAATTTGCAAATCTATATTCATGACAAAAAGATATACGACATGCTTATGATTTTTCTTTGTGTTTTCCTCATGAATTATTAATGAGTTTTTGAATGTAGTTTAAGCGATTTCTACTACATAACAAGTTTTACAAAATAGACTGAAAAATATGAACACAGAGACAAAGTTGTAAAGTTTCCAATATTGTAAGGACTGGAGCGTGAGAACTATATACGCAAACATGAGAACCATAGTATATTGTTGTATATAGATTATGGGCTTCCCACTTTCATTTGATTGCATCATTTTCCTGTTTACGGCAGTTGTATATTTCCCTGTTCCTTGAAATAGAGACGGACGTCGGCATGCTAATGAAATTTGTTAGTTTTCAAAGAAAAATATTGGTGATTTGACATTAATTCGTCAAGGGTCATCGGTATAGTCGACAAAGCGGCAATAGAATGGAAGAAATAACTGGTATGTTTTTGTCATTATTTTCGCTTTTCGTCAATGCAACACCACGCGTATCTTTGCGAGAACCAATTGATCCAACAAGTGACACGGAAGAAGAAGGGGTAGACGATGACAGATGGCAACCGTATATCAATAAAGAATACGAGAACTTCCATACCCACGAACAGTTAAGCTCAGTGTCGGTTAATAAAAGATTAACAGATTATACAAGGCTTGATGATGCTTGGTCTCAGAGGAGTTATTGGGAGTCGATTCGGAGAAGTTTATGGACAACTCTTAGTATTACGGTCGCTATGTTCGTACCAACGGCTTTCACAATGGCGTTTCTATATGCTGATTTGAACACAACGGATCTTTGTTTGGAGTGGCAGTCTCACAATAACACTTTACCATTTTCTGTAAAACGACTTCGTGTCATCGGTGACAGTGTTGAAGCGGTGATAGCCAATCTTTGGTTTCCGTTGACAATGGTAGTTGTATTTGGATGGAAAGAGTTTAAGCTGAGGTGTCCACCTTTTACGTTGCTTTTATCTTCGGAGAAACAGTAGTAATTTATTACTTATTTTTGCTAGTATTTGGTGTCTATGATACGAGCGTGTATTACAGAATTCCTGCCAATGTACTGTTTTTTTTCTGGCATAATTTGCTGTAGCTTTGTTATCCTTCGCAATATTCGAGCGAACCGATCGTGCAATTATACATTGTCCTATTCTAACTGTCGTATTTTGGCCTTAGTTTCGATGGAGCTCGTCGTATCTTCCATATTGGGATTTATCTACAAATACGTTATAGTGCCTTTTTTAATAGCGTAAAACAAGAAGGGGGTCCGAGCCCCCCCCCCCCCAATAATTTTGAAAGACTGTAAAAATCTTGTACCAAAATTACACAGACCACACTCATATAACGTAATTGTCGTCATAATGTAATAATATATGTTTTCAATTTTGTACTGTACATGCCACAACATACGCATTTTATACACTCTTTTTAACAGATACTAGGGGGTCAACTTTTTGCAACAGGCACTTCTTTACTGTCGATGCAATAGGAGTGTTGATAAAATATTGCATCAATTTAATGAATTTATTTCCTCAAGTTGATCAATTCATACGAATTCAAATTTCTTTTTACTTCCTGTGCGTTTCCTATTGGTCAATCGGTTCTGAAACGAAATCTAATTGGCTCATCTAGAAGTAACAGGAAGTTGATCAATTTTCTATCAAATGAATTGATCAACTTGAGGAAAGGAATTGGTGCAATATTTTATCAACACTTCTATTGCATCGACAGTAAATGTTATTATCGATTTTTTGTTGTTTCAGAAGCTTATACTATTGTTTAGCGGCGAAATTTTGAATGCGTATTAAACTATTATGCTCAAAAACAATGGATAATTCAATTAACATCATCACTTAGCAATAAATTTTTGCATTGTCATTGGTGTGTTAATAAAATTAAAGCACCTTGCAATTCCATTCACAAATGTAAGTAATCATGTAAATATTTTCTCTGAAATGTTGGTTTTCTATACTTAGCATGTGATTTACAGTATAACAAAACGCACCATTAAAACAGTGTTTTGAAATCCTAGTTTTTTAGAAAATGTGTTCTCAGAATGCTGGAAATGCCATTTCCGGGATTCAAATTCCCGGATTCAAATTTTAAATTTTTTCTGTGTCTCTCATTCACTGTGGCTAATACGTTAGTAGTGGCTAACTAATTTCCTGATATTTGCAAGCCAGCTGAGATTTTTATGTAAGTGACAAAATCAGGAACGGTTGACGCAATCAGCTGAGACTGAGACTTATTAATTATGAAAAAACCGCAAGTTCTTTTGATACCTTCAAACCGCCATGAAGTTCTGGCTTGTTAGTTGCTGGGGTACCTGTGTGGCTGTGCCAGCAACTATAGGTTTCGGGTGAAATTTTTCTTCGTCCCCATGCATGGATATTCGCAAAATGGAAATATCCCACTGATCTATATATGGAGCACTACGTGCATAAATGTTTGCAATTTTAATGGTCTTGAAGTCTTTGTAAGTGTATAAAGTGAGCGTCAAATTGTTCTTTCAGTCACGCTTTTTTTCTGGGGGCTTTTTGGAACAAATCCATCAAGAATATACAGAGTTATGTCGACGTTTCACTATCGAGGAGTGGAGTGGATTTTGTGGTGGATTCTTATTAACTGTTATTTGTTCGTCGAACTATTATTTCTGAACGTTATTTTTGTTTTGTGAAGTTTTACATCTACCTACGTTTATGGGTTCATGCCCTGCTTGCTACAATAGGCTGCATAAAATTCTTATTTGTTTACATGTATTAGAGCCGTCATATATTTGCATGCTAGCTCTAGCTCTGTATTTCAAGAAGATTCAAATGTTGGCTGTTTTGAAGTGACACACGAGGTACGTGACACACAGTCTTGGATTGGTATGTCTTATTCTGGTTAAGACTGAACTATTAGTTTAAAAATATTAAGACTAAAAGGTTAGGACTGAACTATTAGTTTTTCTATCATTATATGTATTCACATAAAATATTTTTACTTGCAACTCATTTGCTTATTTAATAGACTGAAAACAGGGGTGGGGACCCTTGTTCAAAAATTCATGTCAGTTTGGGGAGGTTGAACTCACAATATTTTTACAGATTGCAAATTATGATTATGACCTATCAGTAATCTGTACTTGATTACTATGATCCTACCATTTGATGATACCAAATGATCCTACCATTTGTGGTTCCAACATGAAATAGCCTCAGTATTTCGGAATGTTTTATTTGACGTTAAGTCCTTTCGTTAAAAATCACCAATTGAAGAATTGCTAGAACAAAAAATGAATGCTGGAACTATCCATATATTTATCATGTTGCACTCTCAATGCCTTGTCACCCCACAACTTGTCACACCCCCCCCCCTTGGGGGCCCTCTTTGTTAGCGATTCAGTTCTGCACCACTGACTGCAAATATAAAGTTATGTAAAATTTCAATGCCAACAGCTCAGGAGGTTATTAATTGGCCATTTTTTTGTATTACAACTATTTAAAACATGAGCAGTAGCGTGAGTACCATACGCAAACACGAGAACCATAATAATATTATCGTATATGATGGGCTTTCCCATATTCACTTGATTGCATTATCTTCCTGTTTGGCAGTTGTATATTTCTTTGTTCCTTGAAATAGAGACAGACGTCGGCATGCTAATGAATTTGTTAGTTTTCAAAGAAAAATATTTGTGGTTTGACAATAATTCGTCAAGGGTGGTCATCATACAGTCGGCAAAACGGCAATAACCAACTATAAGTCTTGTTTATTGCATGTGAAATAATACCAATCTACCAGTATGCTGGAAGAAATAACTGGCATGTTTTTGTCATTATTTTCGCTTTTCGTCAACGAAACACCGCGCGTATCTTTTCGAGAACATCAACCAGGGGTAGATGATGATAGATGGCAACCGTATATCAATAAAGAATACGAGAACTTTCATACCAACGAACTGTTAAGCTCAGTATTTGTTAACGAAAGATTAACAGATTATACAAGGCTTGATGGTACTTCGTCTGGACGGGGGAGTTATTGGGAGTCGATTCGGAGAAGTTTATGGACAACTCTGAGTATTACGTTCGCTATATTCGTACCAACAGCTTTGACACTGGCGTTTCTTTTTATTGATTTAAACACAACGGATCTTTGTTTGGAGTGGCAGTATCACAATAACACTTTACCATTTTCTGTAAAACGATTTCGTGTCATCGGTGACAGTGTTGAAGTTATGATAGCCAATCTTTGGTTTCCGTTGACAATGGTAGTTCTATTTGGATGGAAAGAATTTAAGCTGAGGTTTTTGTCCACCTTTTACGTCGCTTTTATCTTTGGAGAAACGACAGTAATTTATTACTCATTTTTGCTAGTATTTGGTGTCTACGATACGCACATGTATTACAGATATCCTGCAAATGTGCTGTTCTTTTCTGGCATAATCTGCTGTAGCATTCTCATGCTTCGCAATATTCGAGCGAGCAATTATACATTGTCTTATTCTAACTGTCGTATTTTGGCTTTAGTTTCGACAGAGCTCGTCGTATCATCCATACTGTCATTGACATACAAATACGCAATAGTACCTTTTTTTAATGGGGTGAAACAAGAAAGTTACAAATTCATGGTGGCTGTGATGGTGCCAGGATTAGCCATTATCCCTGCTGTGATTTGTAAGCACATAGCGTTGAGACGAAGCTCCGAGGTTGTAGACCCCGGCCGGAGTTTTGTCCTAGTATACATTATCCGAGGTGGTGTCATACTCTTATACCGCACAATGCAAGCAGATTTGAAAAGCATTTGGCTCTTCATTGGGTTATCTCTGTTCTCTGGTTTTGTGAACTTTTTGGAAAAGGCCACCCATCGAATACGGATCAAATTGTGGACTTACATTATCTTACTTTTGAATCGAACGGTTTGCTGTCAAGGGCTCACTGAATTACCTCGCAATACACCGCATTATAGACGGTTAAAAGCGGACTTAGAAATTCAAGATATGCTTTTTGAATACAGTACACTTGTTTTAAGCCAAGGCTACTTCGTGTTGTACTTTGTAGAAAGTTTTCAACTTTCGGTGTCATCTTTCTGTTTGGAATTTCTGAAAAGAGTTGCAATTGGCATTGGAATTGACTTCTTTTTCAATTGCCTTTCAAATTTTGTGCAAATCCATCACTACAATATTCCAGTTGGTCGCGTTTGGACGAAGCACTGGAAACGACACATGTTGTCCAACTTCATCATCATCATTGTGATAGTGTCATACTTCAGCCCCGTCCTTCTTTCGGTTTTTCAAGCGCGGGAGACTGGGACAAGTAACAAACAGTATATAGTCAGAAATTGCACGTTTTTCTAGTCTGACTGGTTGAAAATAAAAGAATGAAAATAAGTTAGCCTATACAGTATACTGCTAGATATAGGTGGGTTTCACGAAGTCTTTGATATGGTGCTCACATGATAATAAATTGGACACTATATAATACAATGTCTTTGGCTTTGCCATCAAACACAAGGTGAAATCTTATAGTGAACATTTAGCCGCGCACAACACCGCTGTCAAACGTAAAGCACATGCGCGCGTATACAGAAATGGCGGGGAAAATGTTTGCCAAAATATTAGGAGTAAATACGGGAAAAGAAAGAGTTTACTATAAGGAAACAGCTGAAGCTATAAGGTAGGGAATTTCAACGCCTTTTCCTTGTGACAAAATGAAGTTATACTGAGTTTAAACACTCGTAATTTTCTTTAACCTTTTTGATAGAGTTTCGTGAAGACAATACTATTTCCAGTCTTTTGAATACAATTAAGCAGTAAGTACATGCGGATGTTTGACTTCGGTATTGCCGCGCATTACTACACTGTCCCTCTTGGTGAAGCTCACCAATAGAGCGTTTGCACTCATTCCCCAGGGACCAACTCGACAAAAGCCGTGGCGGTCATGGTGGTGTTCCAGACAAAAGAGTCAAATTAAAATTCTTTGAATTGGAACACCAACTTGGTGTCTGTGAGGTCATGTGCAAACGCTCTATATATATAGCTATACACACTGCAAAATCACGTGTAGTATATTTTACTTATGGCTTTTGCCAAACTTTGTTTGTGTAACTACTTTATATATAAATACAAATGCATATAACGAAAGGGACTGTACATGAAGAGCTGGACCGTATACTATGAACTAAAGTAAGTAAAAACTTTATTTGACGAGGGAAACGCATTAACCATAACATGCACTGAGTTTATATCTAACATACGGCCCTCACAATGTTACAATAGATTTGTAGATATCATATGATATGTAGTAAGTTCATCATTCCTGATGATGCATGACTAAAATTTAGTCGAAACGTAGAATATAAACCACATTTCATACCGTTTTCGGAGTTGCTATTGTATTGTATTGTATATCAGTGTGGTTGGCACTGACTGGTTTACTGAGTCGAACAGGGATTTCTTTTAATATTTAATGAGATAATATATTCTATACAAAATGAAAGTTACCTAGTATAAGTATAAAGGCTAAAACACATGCATTCCAATCATATTTTCGCGACATAACATGGTAAAATTGACTAATAACACAATACTACAAATATAACATATAAAACAATTAAACATCTGTACCTGAAGGGTAGATCCCTGCAGGACTTGACTCTGACTACAACTTTACGTTAATCTCTCTAACTATCCGTCCTTTAAACCGTCTCTTTACTCTCGCGTGTCTCTCTTACAAAATACTGATACAACTAACGCCTATAATGTCACTCAAAAATGTCATCACTTAAATGTCTATATAAACCATAACAGAACTTAATATTAACTATATCAAATGTCGAATGTCAAATGTTGCTCGCTATTTACACCAACCCTCCGGGGCCACAGTTCATGAATGTTCGTCTAACTAGCTTCTATTAAAACACATAACTTTTGCACAGACCTTTTGTATTGACCATGCTGAGTTTTCACTAACACATTTCTTACCACACCATCTTTCCCAGCGTAAACTTCTTCAACTCGACCTAACTTCCATTTTCCTCTTGGTGTCTCGTAATCCACCATCAGGACCAAATCTCCAACTTTCATCTGTCGTTCTTTCAATCGCCATTTTCCTCGTTTTTGCAACGTCGGTAGATATTCTCGTATAAATCTTTGCCAGAACTGCTGTACAAGGCTCTGGATAAACTCGAATCTTCGACTCAAAATCTCTGATCTCTCAAACGATCCGTGAGGAACACTGCTCGATGCTCTACCGGTAATGGTTAGGGGTAAGGGGTTGTAAGTCGTTGGGATCGTTCGAAGGGTATCCTAAAGGTCTTCCATTTATCAGAGACTTAACTTCAGCGAAAACCGTGCTCATTTCATTCCAAGACAGATTCTGATTTCCAACTACGATTCGAATGGCACTCTTAACTTGCTTTATCAGGCTCTCGTATATTCCACCTTGATGAGGGCTCCTTGGTGTCGTGAATATCCAACGAAGTTGGTAGAGTGTTGCGAAATCTTCAAGTTTCTTTCTCTCCTTTACAACCAATTCTCTCAACAATCTCTCAGCACCAACAAATGACGTCCCGTTATCGGAGATTATCGTGCTTGGCCAGCCATGATGTGAAGCAAAACGTCGCAGTGCATGAAGAAAGGCTTCAGCTGACGTACTCTCTACGATTTCTAGGTGAATGGCTCGAACTGTCGCGCAGGTAAATATAGCACCCCAGGCTTTGACACTCTTGTTTCGTGAAACTTTAAGATTAAACGGACCGAACAAGTCCACTCCAGTTACAGTAAATGGTGGAGAAAACGGTTTCACTCTCTCTTGCGGAAGATCAACCATCAAAGTGGTGTGAGGTCGTTGACGAAACTTACGACACACTAAGCAATTCTTGATTGTCTTCTTAACTATACGCCGTCCACTCATGATCCAATATTCACGTCGACTCTCAGAGAGGGTTCTTTCGCAGCCAGCATGGCACACTTTCTCGTGAAATTCTTCCATTATCAATTTCGATATGTGGTGGTTTCCGAGTAGCAATATGGGATGTGCTTGATCGTAGGGAAGGGACGCTCTCTTTAGTCTACCACCAACTCGGATGATATCATTTTCGACAAAGGGCGCAAGATCCTTGTAACGATCTTTCCAATCAATCAACGTGGTCTGTACTTTACGAATCCAAAATTCTTTGACATAATTTATTTCGCTAGGTTGGAGAGGACCCGACTTTAACTCCGACTTGTCTCGTGCGCTTAGTCGAGCATTATGACCAAAACGCTTGCAGTAAGCTGTAATTCTGACCAATCGTTGCCAATTTGAAAAGTTTTTTGGATCTATGCACGGGATATCAGGATTGAAACTCCCCAGGATCTTGGGTTTCTTTCTTTCTGGATCATTCTGAATGGTCTCCACACTTTCGCTTGGCCACTCGCTGTTTGGCAATTTCAGGAACGCTGGTCCTTGGAACCATCGATCATACATATTTTTAACATCAATTCCTCGACTTAAATCATCGGCAGGATTCAGAGCAGAAGGAACATAACGCCAATGACTTGATTCCCATGTTGACTGAATTTCAGCTACTCGAACTCCAACGAATGCCTTCAACAATGCAGAATCTGACCGTAACCAATGCAAAACGATCTTCGAATCGGACCACAGTTTAACTACAGCAGGCTTCGTTTTAAACTCGTTGTAAATGGTACTTGCCAATCTTGAAGCAACCAGTGCTGCCATAAGGTCTAACCGTGGAATGGTTGCCTGACGTAAAGGAACAACTCTTACTCTCGAGGCGATGAGATTAACTTTATGACCTTCTGTGGTGGGCCAGAGAAGATATGCAACCGCTCCATACGCTGTGGCACTGGCATCAGCAAATACATGCAGCTCGGATGGACCACAAATTTAATCAGGACGTAAACAACGCGGAATTGTAATCGTGTTTAAACTTTCTAACTCTCGGAAAAGTTTGTACCATAAAGTGTGCATTTCTTCAGGCAGTGGGTCGTCCCAGTCATACTTCTTTGCTTTCCAGATTTCTTGGAGAGCAACTCTTTCTTTGATAGTTACTACAGAAGCCAATCCAAGTGGCTCAAACAAACGTGAAATCCTCGACAGAACTGTTCTCTTCGTTAACGTTTCTATCTTTATTTCCTTTACTGAGAAACTGAATTTGTCAGTCTGTGGATTCCAATTGACTCCTAAGGTTTTGATTCCTTCTTCGCCGTCTAGGTTGACATTCTTTGTCGTTGTACATTCACTATTTACACCTATCACGTTATCTTTGAAATCATGATTTTCTTCTTCCGGACTAGAAACGTTCTCAGCTTGCATTTCTTGAACGGACGACGAAACAAACCATTCCTTTATCTTAAAACTCCCCGTAGCTAACACGTCGTCGACTTCGCCTTTGGACTTTTCTGCTTCTTCCTGCGTGCTTGTCGAATGAATAAGATCATCCATGTACCGATCACGTTTGAGAATCACGGCAGCTCGAGGACATTGGGACTCATTTTCATTCGCGATCTTGATCATAACGTAACTTGCCATGTCCGGCGATGGTTTATCTCCAAATGTGACTCTTTGGAGTGCGTAAACTGTTGGGTCTCGACTTTCATCTAAATCTTTCCATAAGTATCGGTGGACAAGCGTGTCTTCTTCGGGCAGGCAAATCTGCAAATACATCTTCGATATATCGCCAACAAGGCCAACAAGATCTTCTCTAAAGCGCAATAACACTCCAAGTAGATTTCCAATAAGACAAGGACCTTTGTAGAGAAACGAATTCAATGATACTCCTTGATATTGGCAGGCAGGGTCGAATACTACTCTCAAGGGCGTACTTTTCTTCTCGGGTCGATAAACTCCGTGATGAGGCAGGTAATATTTTGGTTTATCTTTGGCGTCTACTTCTTCTTGTGACAACTGACGCGACCAACCGTTTCTTTCGTACTCATTCATGACTTGGTTGTACAAACTAGCCTTAACATCGTTTCTTTTCAGGCTTCTTTCCAGCGAAAACAATCTTTTCTCAGCGAGTGAATAATTGTTAGGCAAAAGATTTTTATCTTTCTTCCAAGGAAGTCCAATGACATATCTCCCTCCTTGCTGCTTACAGGAGTTCTCCATTAACTCGATGGCTCTTCTGTCGTCAGGTGACATAGCTATCTGTGGACAATGACATTGGGGGGCTTGGATTCCGAGGGTTTCAAACTCGTAGAATTTCTCTAGGTTGACGGGTTGGACAAACCTTATTGAACATACTTTGGACGTTTTCTGTGAACTATCAGAACCGATGACAAACCATCCTAGCTTCGTTCTTTTCCCAACAGGCTCAAATTGACGGCCTTGACGTACTTCATCTTCTGCGTGCAAATGACTGAACTGGACGCCTAAGATAAGATCAATTGGACCAGCTTTATGCGAGAAGTCGATGTCTCGAAGGTGTGCAAATGATTTCAACCACGGACGATCCAAACGTGGGACACTTAAAACGGTTTTCTCGATCTCGTGGGCTTCTATTCTGTGCTCTTCTGCTCCGTTGAGTGCTGAGATTGAGAAGGTCACTCTTCTGCTTTGGGGTTGTTCAACTCTTTCTCCTCCAACAACGGCTAGATCAATTTTTTCTCGTTTGCCTTGCAGACCAAGTGATCGAGCAAAATCCTTTCGAATTACTGTGGTACCTGCGCCGCTGTCGATGAGGACATTTCCTTCGCGTGTTCGACCGTTTGGTGCTCTGAAACAAACTCTAACAACTGGTAGAATGCTTCCCTTGTCCAGCACTGATGATATACCGCTCATTGTTCCAGGCTCTCCGTGTAACAGTTGATGATGAAGTCTTGTGCATCCATTTTTCTCGCATTTTTTCTTCGATCTACAGTCTCTCGTCACGTGACCTTTATTCAGGCAAGAAAAGCACAATCTTGCCTCTCTCACTAAGTTGAAACGTTCAGGAACGGTGGAATCAGCTAAGGTAGGACATTCTATCACTTTGTGGTCTTCATTACACACATAACATTTCAAGGCTTTCGAATGCTCGTTCCTTTGTGCTGCGTTAATTCCGTGTCTTTCTCTTGCTTCGCCCTTTCGCGGGTCGTACTTGGGAGGTTTTAGAGACATATCTCCAAAGACGGGATCAAATTCCGCCTTTACTTGTTTTCGCAAAAAGGTACTAATATCTTCAACCGTAGGGGATCTTTGTTTCTCTCTAATATCTATTACTACGCTTTTCCATTTCTGA